TAAACATTTTTATTTTAGACCAGGAGCTTATGTTACAATTTCTGTTATCGTTGTTCTTCTCTAGTATTACTGATTCCCATATTCATGTCTATGCTTGGCCGGCGTAGCAGATTTTTGCGTTAACTGAAACTGAGATATCCCCACCAAAAAAAAAAAAAAAAAAAAAATAGAATTAGAATAATCTACTCTCGTGGACTAAATAAAGGGAACGGTTCGAAATCACAACATATATCACCTGAAGAAGGTCAGAGCGTACAACGGTCGAAACGTCGTGAATATGGAAATAAAGATGAAGACAACAGTCCGAGCGATGCAAATAGTGTAAATATTTACAATTTCCACATCTTAGAAATATAGACAGAAAATGTAAGTTAATTTAAATATCATTTATAAAAAAAAAAAATTAAAATTAAAATTTCAATGAGTGCAGCCCGACGGGAAAGTGACTTTTCGATTCTACATTTAAATTAATATAGGGTTTTCCCGAAAATGTTTGAAAGACTATTTTTACTTTTTTTTTTGTTTCTGAATAATAAAAATTATAAAAAGTTCTAGTGGCCGCAACAAATTAAAATCTGTAGATGTTAAATCAAACAAAAAACAAGTATTAGATGGAGTTCTCTTTTTGTATATGTGTGTGTGTGTGTGTGTGTGTGTGTGTGTGTGTGTGTTGGAATCGGTTTCTTATTTTATGTTGTGATAAACATTGTTTTTTTTTTTTTCATTTTCTGTTGACATGCAAAACCCATTTTTCATCACCTGTAAAAGAACGCAAACGCTTAAGAAGGGCACATAATGAAGAAAGAGGGCTTGGAGAATTTGGCACTAACATGACATCTTGAAGACAAGAGAGACAGAAGGAATCAGTCAGTGACCTACATAATAAGCTTCTGTAAACTGATGGGACTAGGAGGATAGCAAAAAGACACATATTACTAAGAGCTACATAAGACAGGGAGTTGTGATCAATAATGATCTCCCACGTCCTGAAAAGACATGGCACATAGAAGATTTTAATGCCATCTTTACTTGTGATGCTTCATGTGTTTCATAAAACCGTGTTTAAGTATATATTTGTTTTTATATATGTAAGTGAGAGCGTGAATGCCTGTTTGCATACATACATATGTTTATACAATTGTGTGTGTGTGTATATGCAGCGATATATAAATTTGGCTGTATATGTATTATTTCTTAAGTTGTGCGCATGCGTGCCTGTATAGATTTAACGATTTTTTGTTTGAATTTACCATTAAATATGCATACACGTTTATATTTTGGGAGTGGGGAGATTCATTATGTAATCCAAGAGAGATCTATTTTATTTAAAAATGGATTTGTATTGGCATTTTAAGGACTGAAAATTAGATTTGGGTCTTTTCTGTTAATTTACCCCAAATAACGTAAAGTTACTTATCACAAATACTATTTTTTACAATTAAAAAAAATATGTAATAAATATGTTTTTGGCGTGTTTATCGGAGTGAGCGCGAACGTAGACCCCATACTTAGAAATAAAGCACCCGAGTCGCCCACATTTGGGGTGATTGCAAAGGTCAACCTAACCGGGTATTCAATGGGACTCGCTCTGGGAGAATTTGGTGTGAATATTAGTAAATATAAATTCTTTTTATTTTGGGGTGAATTAACAGAAAAAAATCCTTAGATTTCAATGATTTAAACTTAAGATAGTTTTGCGACATTGCAAAAAAAAAAATTGCTCAGTTTTAGTTAAATGTGAATTGTACCTATAATAAGAACCTTGTTATCCACGGTAAAAAGCTTCAAAGTCAACATCACCGTGGATAGTGAAATGTTAAAAAATATTTTCACCTGGAAATCGACGTTCTGTTGAGAAAAAAAAAGCGTATTTGAAATGACCTTTTTATTTTTTTTTTTTATTAGAAAGAAAGAAGGAAAAATTTTTTGTCTAAAAATTAATGAAAGTAATCTCTTTATATAGGCGCTAAGCCCAGATGTGAGGCTTAAAAGCAGTGCAACTGCATCCATTCCTTTGACAAATATATTCAGCCAACCAACTTTTAAACTAAACAAAAACATTTTAGGGTCAATAACGCAATAAGGGATTTTTTCAAAATTCATTTTAGCTTTTCCACCCTCTGAGGATATTTGGAGGACATTAAGGACTTACGCCCGTTTTCATATATATTTTTTTCTTCATTGGGATATATTTTACAAAGTAGTTTACTTTTAATGAAGTTATAAATGCGAAAGTTTTGCTGATTGAGCCAATGACAGTTAAGTGAAACGGCAGTTGGTCATTCCGGGAATGGAGTCCTACCATGTTTTTTTAAAGCAAAACGATAAAGAGAATACGATCAAACAAACGCAATAAAAATAAACCTCCCTCAACCGCTGAAAAGTTTGATTTAGTATTCTAAAATCTAGCTCTCAAACTCTAGTATCGCTCACTGATCTGAGGTTAGGATGATACTATGCTAAAATATAACGCCTTCTGATGGTTTATTATTATTATTATTACTATTATTATTAAGCTTGCTCTAGAAAAAGTAATGACCCGAAAACTACAACGAACAATTTTGGAAGAATTGGTTCGAAATAAAAAAAATAAAAAAAACCAGTAAAACTATTATTATTTTAATAAATGTTTTATCGAGCTTAACTCCTGTGTAGTAAAAATATCAAAAATATTTACTAAGCGTTGCTTCGTTTTGGCACAAGGCCACCTTGTGAGGGTCAAACTCACTACTAAGTATCTACAAATCAAGCTTATTCAAAACTACAGCACGAGAGGTGACGTTTGAAATTTATAAAATAGCAAAAATAATTCGCCGGTAAGTTAGTATAAAATTAATAATAATTGGCAATTGTTAGTTAGTAAGATGTTGAAGAAAAAATATTAGAGAGTATTTATTTATAAACGTATATCAATATATAGTAAATAAATTTGAACCTGGAGCTTTGGAAAAAGCAGACTTACCTGTCGGGGCTGAAGATTTTAGACGAAAAATATCCTAAAGTTCAACTCCAAGTGTAAACTTCCGAAAAACCATATCGCTGCCGTATTGCCAAACTCATATAAAAGAGATTTTTAAACGAGGGAATCGAGTGAATTATTCAAAGTTGAATGTTTTAAAATGTCATTTCTCTAATGAAGTGCGTGCCTTGATGAAATTCTTTTTTTTTTTTTTCCTTCTTTTTTTCTCTTTCTTTCTTTCTTCTTTTTGGTCGAGTGAAAAAGCCCGTCCGGACGGCAACAACCCAGCCGTAGTAGCAGAAGCAAACACCTGGATCATTCAGTCTAAAATCAATTTGATTGTCACGTGAGTTGATTTATCAACAAATGGTCTGGCCGGGAGGGTAGTGTTTAAAATAATACTCGTAGCATGGATGGCTGCACTGATTTCAAAATGGTAAACAATATGTACGCTACTACTACTTATCACTACTAAAACCGACCTATCTCTGTCTCTAGTGTCTCGCTGTTTATTACTCACCCACCCTGACAGTACTCATTATTACCTACCTATGTGTCTACCCACCTGCCTACCTATTTATGTAAATAAACACACGAAGTGCACATGTACACAGAAAGAGATAGAGAGAGGCTACGTGTTGAATACTGGTGTTTGTTCGAGAAAGGAAGAGAAAAATTGTTTATCTCAATAATGAGTCATACTCCATGACAGTTTAACTTCAACTTGTAAGCTTTCTTCGAGGCAATTTCTCATCTTATTTTTTTTTCATTTCATCAGGCCTTTTTCCCAAATTTTGTGCCATTTATTAAGTAAAGAAACCGACTCCATCGTCGATGACGACGATGAATACGACGGCAACAACAGCTGGTGTTATAATTTGAATTAATGAAGTAAACACAGGATTCAGTACATTTACAGAAAAAAAAAAAAAAAAAACAGCTGCTCGGATGAGTGAATTTCTTCTTTGCGCTGCACCCTTCAGGAGGTGGGTGATCGTGGCTCTTCACCTCTTCCTTTTTTTTCGCATCTCTAAACAATATTTATCCCTCCCAGACCCTATTCTTCCATCTATTTACACAAGGTCGTTAGATAGTTTTACTCGCTGTTTCTCTCTTGCCCTCAGCGTCTCCGATGAGAGTTAAATTCTCCACTCCCTCTTTCCGCATTATATCACCTAAATATTTCAACAGTCTCTTTCTGATTCTTAGTGCAAGTGTCCTTTTTGTTTTCATTTTCCTTAAAACTTCCTCGTGGCTCTAATGTTCCATCCAAAATGTTCTTAGTATTTTTCTGTAGGACCACATCTCTATAACTTCAAGTCTCCTCTTCATTTGTGAGGAAATTGTCCAGCACTCACTGTGATACAGGAGGATTGATATTACATAACAGTTCTGCGTCCGTTGTAAAAGAGAAACAAACTTCAGAAGTCTAAAAAATGTGAAAATAATAATATCATCTAAATAATATCCCATGGTTGGGAGTGAATAATTCAGGGAATAAAATATGCACTGCACGCATCACAACAGAGAGACTCAAATGTACATATATGCACAATGAAAAACAATTACATACATCTTATTCAGAAAGCGGATGGGTGAAATTAAACATAACAATGTCGCATACCAACTTGGTTGTCACATTGGCACATATGCAAAAACTACCTACGCACGCATAAAAAGATGCTCAGGCTTGTATGTTAGTGCATTGGCATAAACACATAAATACACGCGTGTACAATACACACGTTAAAATACATGCTTGCACACATATATCTATATACACTAATTGCATAACGATCCATTTGATTGACTGATTCGTTTTCTACGGCCTTTTTTTAAAGATTGTAATTTTTTTTGAGATAATAATGGTTTAGTGATACAAGTCTTACTAATTACTAGCTGGGGCGAGGAGAGGTGGATTCATACTATTGCTAAGAGCATTTGCGCGGAACTGAATATAACGAACCCAACGGGAATTGGAACTCGGCTCTCCGATTAACAATTCCGGGCCGTTATCCATTACACCACCCGCACACCCAAGCTTACAGTACGTGGTATTCCAAAGCCATCACCCATTTAGGTACTGGCCAGGCTCTACGTTACTTAACTTCAGTGATAGAACGGGAACCGGGAAGACATTTTGGATGTAGCTGTAACGTATTTATGGCACAGACGACAATGACATATTTATCTTAAATGACATAAAGTAAACGGTATAAGTATCTAATTATGTGTCAGGCAGGATGTTCCACTTTTGGAGGTAATATAGTGATACACACTATTTAAAAAAATAAATAAAAGCAGGATCCCTGCCCACCATTTGACTTTGAACGAAACTCGATTAAACTAAAGACACGAGAAACATACGCATTAACATTGACATAATTCTTTTTTTCTTTTACATGTCGAAGGTGGGTACTGTAGCTGTATTGATCATCAACGACCAATCTCATTATCAATGAGACCGATTACTCAACTATTCACATAACTAGTTTAATCTTAATCAAATAATTAACCTACATTTCTCTTCATCCTTTAAAATGGTGTAGCTAGGATATTTCCTGCAGTTATTCAATTCATAATGCAAACATATCATTGATGTTCCAGCAACTTATGGTATATCACCTCTGTTGATCCCAACAAATGATTGTCATACTAATTCGCCGGACGTCCACAGGTATCGCAGTATTATAATAATAGTTTAATAGAAGTTTCTAACACTTGACGATATTGTAGAAATAGGAGAAATGCATAATTAGTGGGCCAGAGATGTATTATCGAATTATTACGTATCTTCCGTTGTCAAACGGATAATCCGGTATATTTTTAAAATCAAGTGATCCCTAAAATCGCTGGTGTACCTGTGTAACCGACGTTTATACATAATATGTATGATATTTTTTGTTTTCTTTTTCTAGACAAAAATGCCTAAGTACATTTGTTTTAAGAAAAAATACAGATGTAATAGAAATAGATTTATTAAAATTACATTGTCTCCAGCTCAAAAGTGTTAATTATATGTGATATAAGTATCGTGTGAATAGACATTCAGCTCTTTCAAGAATTAGTAAAAATGTGTGACACTGTTATGAAACGGGAGTATAGTTTTACAATAGTCACAGCAACAAGAAATAATCGTTTTTTTTTTCCATTTTATTTTATATTTTACTATAAATTAAGCATTGCTGATCATGAACATCAATCAAAAAAATTATCAAATTTTATAAAAGTTAATAGTGGTGGGGGGTTCAGTTTGCTATGTAAATTAATCCCCTTACGGAAGCTAAAACAAAATATGCTCATACCACGTGATTTCTTAAAATGTAATTTTAAAAAATTACATTCGTAATCTGGTTTGCTTTTTATATATTGCTATCTATTAAGCTCTCCAGATTACGAATTTCATATTTTAATTTTTTTTTATTTTAAGAAATCACGTCGTTTGAGCATATTTTGTTTTGTCTTCCGTAGAGGGATCAATTTATAATACTTTTGCATATTAGCGTTTATAAAATGTAATAACAAAAAAAAAATAAATTGTGATCTGGAACGTTTAATTTATAGTTGATATATATTATAAATGATTATTTCTGGTCCAACCACCTGTTACATAACTTCACTGTTACCAACTACATTTGTAAATAAATACATAAGATGCAAGTTTGTAGTCATACTAAATAAATGTATATAAATATATACTCAAAATATTCGTGTCTCCAAATATGTATGATTCAGATATGTCTACTGATTCAAACGAAATAAAGTTTCTCATTGATTGTGAGTTCAATTTTCAGCGAATAAGCAATGAAAAGTGGGACGCACATACAGAACTGCTGGTGCATAATCGCGATCCAAATATATTTCACACACCCAGTGAAAGGGAAAAAAAAAGTCGATTTCTATTCGTTATATGTATATATGTAAAAAACAAACAAAAAACAATAAACATTACCGCTACTTTGATGCATCAGCACAGAACAAAAGCAGGCGTCAACACGTCCAGCTGCAGCGACGATGATTTTGCTGTTGAATCTCACGCACACACGAGTGCACGCACGCTCACACACAAATAAGTAGGAGGTCATGCACTATGGCACATACAAGTAGGAGGTATTTAAAAATTTTGTTTAGAATATTGTTTACGAATAACCTTCAGTAAATTTCAAAATGAATACTTTATTTAAGTTCTATTTAAGGGATAACAGTTTCTTTTTTCGCCTGTGGAACTCTCTCCCGGTTTCGTGTTTTTCCAGCCAACTTTGTTCTTCAAAAATTTTAATTCGATGTCAATCATTATCTACTGTCTCTTGATTCCTCTTCTTTTATTGTCCTCTCTCCTTAATAATATTTTATTTTTTTTACTCTTTCACACGCATTGACCTCTTGTGTCTTAGCGGCACTATTGCCTTACTTGAGGTGAAATGATAAAAAAATCTACGATGGCAGATTGTTCTCGTTCCGCTGAACATGTCAACCTCGTCCAGTTCTCTTTTAGTATACAACTCAATTATTCCAATGAAAGCGATATGGTGAGAAGTTTTGATAAAAGCAGCGTCTAGTCTTGAATGTGAAACCCTGTTGAAAATATCTTTGAGGTTTGGTTAAACCAGCTTATTCAGACGCTTTCCGATTGTAGGTGTTTCCAAGTATTTAGTTGTGATTCTCAAGTCACCTTGGCTGCCTTAAAAATCAACCGTTTCGACACAGCCATGATAATCTCTTACTACTCCCGCTCATGAATAGAGACGTGCGGTGCGTCACTCCCTAGGGGACATGCCCAAATCTTTAAGGTCAGGTAACTGATACGAAGTAAATCTACTGTTTTCAATCCCTAGACAAAACATCATGTTAAGACCTCTAATCAATTACGACAAAAGCCAAAGCCCAAAGTGTCATGTCTGTTATATCATCAGGGCATTTATTATTATTACTGTGCGTGGTAACATCTTGCCAGAGAGTAATTTTAAGTGCCAAATTACCAAGTCCCCATCCGGGGTCTACGAGTAAAAAAGGCACAGTAGGAGAGTTATCTATGCACATTTGAGAGATTTCGTTTAAATGGAGAGGGTTGGTGGATGATATATGCAGTTCCGCACAAAGTAATCTTTTGTAGCTTTGAAATGCTGATGTGTCCAGACATTTTACTCGCATGTTTTTCGTCATCATCATTATCATCATCATCATCATCATCATCATTATTATTATTATTATTATTATTATTATTATTATTATTTGTATTTTCTTTGATTTCTGGCGTTTACACATTTCTTTCCGGGTCCCGCCCAGGGACCTAAGGTTAGAAATGGCGTCATGACACTTTCCACTGACCAAAAAAAAAAAAAAATGATTACATAGATAAAGCCCTTCGTAAGGTGTGGGCTGTACTTGTCAGAACAATTTTCTGTATCTCCTTGAGGCATGGACTTCCAGAAATCCCTTCAATTAGTCTACTGGAATCTTTTCCAGCCAGTCCTAGGGCTCCAACTACAACAGGGATTGTTGATGTTCCCATATGCCACACTTTCGAGATTTCTATTTCAAGGTCCTTGTACTTTGACAACTTTTTGAATATCTTCAAAGATACATTGCAGTCAGCAGGGACTGCCATATCAATAAGGAGGCACCGTTTTTGTTGTGGTTATTATTATTATTATTATTATTATTATTATTATTATTTCCTTTGATTTCTGTTGTATACTCATTTCCTCCCGGGTTCCATTCAGAGACCTAGGTCAGAAATAGCACGAAATAATAATAATAATAATAATAATAATAATAATAACAGCAACATAAAAATAATGGTAATAATAATAATAATTATTATTATTATTATTATTATTATTTTTTTTTTCTTATTATTATTCCTTTGTTTCTTATTACGACCTGTAACAGATTGTTTGTCTCTTGCTCACAAAAAAAAAGTAAAAGAAAGAAAGACAAATAGACAGAAAGAAAAGGAAGATAGAAGAGGCGATGATACTCCTGCTTCAATGAAATGGAAAACTTTGTCAGTTTTAATCTTTTCATATATATCACATACCACATAATATACCACATAAACCAACATAAACTTGAATTTACAAATCACCATTAGTGAGAACTTAATATTGTTAAAGATTACGAAGTTTTTCAATACTATATTCTTCTTTATTTCAGCGCAATGTACAAATAATAATAAATCTTTCCTTATCGATATTGTTCGTGTTCTCGTTTATTTTCATTTTTTCACATGATCAGTCAGTTATGTGTCATGCGTGATACATGCTTAGGCGATCATGTTATCTTTCGATACATGACTGACGCAACAGATATTTTTTCCTGCAGTAGGTTGCCATTTCTTTCTGCATTAGACCAGTTTGCTATTTATCCATAGCTTACTTTCTGCGGTAGACCAGTTGCCATCCAAGGCTATAGAACCCGTTTTGTTTACCCATAGCATAAAAAGGGGTGAGAAGAAGAGGATTCATACCTTTCCCAAGGGTATTAGCACGTGAATGTAATGAATTCGACTGGAATTCGAACTCGGCTCTCCGATTCCTCAATCCGAGCCGCTATCCATCACATGATCAAATGCGTTAAATTCCTTTCCGGTAATCAATTTCTCTACTTCGCTTGCTATTGCATCTTAATATCCAGTACGATGAAGCATCATGTCAACCTCAGCCTGATCTGTGCAACCTGTGTCAACAATCAGGTAACCTAGATTCGATCCCATAAAGTAGTGACTACAATTTAACGACGTATACTTCTATTGAAAAAAAAGTATATTAGTGTTACACACACTTCTTATCCACTTACTAATTATGTATGCTTGCAAATTTGAAATAATTACAAGAGCAAATAATACTTTACTCAAAAGGCATGTATTATTAAAATGTAAAAGCAGATACACAGACTTAAAAAGATTTACATGAAAACATGTCGATATATTTACACTCTGGTGGAATTAGACTAATATTCACACGCCCACAATACTTACCTATATCAATTCCCAGACGGCTTCATAAGTGAGCATATATTTGAGGTATGTAACTTATAATGCGAAGGTCACAAGTAATCATTATTATCTGTAAGCATCTATTATCTTGCAGTTACTGTTTTTACTAGTGTGTGTATATTGCAATTCTTTTGTA